GTTCCCTGCCTGAGGCCAACAACATGCATGTTGAGCATGCATCAGGATAACATGCATGTTAGTGTAATTAGTAACTTTAAATTGACCCTGGGTGTGAGTGGTTGTTTGTGTCCAACAAACTTCAGTCATGTACTCTGGACAGATTCTTTTACTTTTTTTAAAGAATGGATGGATAGTTCTGCATTTTGGTTCTGTTCTTTAAGACATTTTATGGTTTAACTAAACGTTATTCAACTCAGACTGGACCAACTGAGACGGACTGAACCAACTCAGGGTTGAAGGACGTTGGATCCAGAAATGATTTCAAGACATAAATATTTGTAACTCCAAAAATCATTTCTGAATTAAGCAATGCATTTATCTAACTGCTGCAACGAGAACATGGAGGAATAAACTGTTTGTGGTTGTGTGTAAATGTGTATTTGTCTGTCTGCACTGATCGAGCTCATCAAACCACTCATGTTGTAACTGTAGCTCACATTTGGTGTGGTAGTAGCTGACACTGATCCTCAACACATATTGTGAGCACTAACAGGATGCACGCCATCTTTGGTGAAAGTTTTCTCTGTCACCGTTTGGAGTTATCGCTGTCAGAATTCCTCATGAAGGTCTCTGGTTGACCTTAATGCAACTTTCATCAGGAGTTTGATGAATCACCTGAGAACTCTCTATAATGTCACCTGCAGTCGGACAAGTGCAACATTTGGGTCAGTGTTGGCACCTTCGTGTTATTTTAGGAACATGTGTTATTGTTTTTTCATGATTGATGCTGTGAATATTTGAAATTATTTTGCCCTGGAGCTTCAAACTCCAGAGACGGTACCATCAGACCGGCTCTAAACCTGCACCATCCATAAATTTCACTCAGGAGACCAGCGCTTTGTAAAGCGTGCAGAATCTGTGTTGCTTGTTATTGAGCGAGCGTGATTATGAATTCTCCGCTTGCAGAAAACTCTGCCGTGTGTGCAGGTTAGTCACGGCAGCCGTCCCTCTCATTAAGCAGATGTGAGGCGTGGAAGTGCCCGTGAACGCCGTGCATTTCTGTGATACCTCCACTGGCCTTTCTCTCACCTTACAGAACCTTTCAACCGCACAGAGGCGATGACATGTGCCCCCCCTCTCCCCCGTCCCCGCTTCACACTTCAGTTGTTGGCTTGAGAGCGAGACGTGCCCTGCAGGGCCCGGTGTTGTGCACGGAGGCACTTATGTGGTGTGACAGGCGCGCCTGCCTGTCAGCGTTTTCCTGGCAGAGCTGCCAAGTCCAGCGCCTGCAGCCAGACAAGTTCTCTGTAGCACCCCCCCACTTCACTCGCAGCACAGCCCCACCTGGAAGGAGACGTTTGTTCCAGCTTTAAAGCCACAACATTCTGACGGACGCCTTTGCAGCTTTTTATCTGACAAATGAAAGCCATGTTTTCTGGTGGACGATGTCACGATGAACACCGTGGTGCTGGTCCACTGTTCTGTAGAAGAGCCCGGCAGGGAAGGACTACGAGTCCAAGAGGGCCTTGGCTTTCCCTAAACAGTGTCACCATAAAGACATAAATGTTTCCATAAACGTCTTCATCCACACAGAAACACATAAAATGAACCAAGACTGTAGTAACCATGTCAGGCCTGTGGGTGGCGCAGTAAAGCTGCCACCAGAATTCTCCAAAAACTCAAAACAAGGGAAGTCTGAGACTGTCATCATTCTATGTTCCCATAATTAGTTCTCTGCATTTAACCCAGCACACCTGAGGTACACACCTGAGGTACAGCCAGGTGGAGCAGTGGGCAGCTATGTAAGTGCCCGGGGGACTGGGTGTCTTGCTCATAAAACTTGCACCTCGAGCAGACTGTTGTTATACAAACAATAGTCTGTAAATATTATTATCAAGTCTGTGGATTGAAGTTTAAACACAAGAAGAAGAAAAAGATGAGGTTGGTGTCATAGTTTTTAAAGTGTCTTCATGAAAAGTCCGGAGCAGCATCTAAAGGTTGTTTCTTTAATAAATTAATTTGTAGGGGCTTCAAGGGTGCAAAAACAAAAAACGTTGTGTATTTACAGAAACTTCCTTTTCTGAGTCCTGAGTCTTGTCGGGGGAGTCCAGCGTCGCTGCAGCTGCTCCGAGGACAGTTCAGATTCAGATCGTCGCTCTGGGCGCCTTCGTGCTTTCGGGGGTTTGCATGTATTCCTTGTTTTTGTCCTTCGGGCACTTTGGAGGTGCACCGCCATCTTCATGGGATGAGCACCAAAGTGCAGTCAAGCACTCAGAAGAAGAAGAACAGCAGGAGACAAGATATGGTCTGTTTTATAAAACATGAACTCCTCGGCTGCAGCTCTCATGGACTGTTGAACTCATCATCTCCAGGACGAGTGACCCAAACTGAACTTTAAACTGCCGGGGAGTTGAAAAGATCTGGTGTAAATTGGTTACGCTCTTCTTTAATGCCACAACAGTCCGCACAGCTGAAGTTAATCTGGAGGGATTTGGGTATCTTGAGGTCGGAAGGTGAAGCCATGAAGGTTTGATTTGTGGTCCAAGCGGCCACTGACTGTTCTGACTTCAGCCGCCACGAATCACAGGAGGAGTACGATTTTACTGACACGCCTTGTTTCCACTGCAGGAACCAAACTGTTTCCAGTTTGTTAAACCCCACCAGCTGCAGTAACAACAAGGCTGCAGGGGTTCAGTGCAACAACCCTCTGAGCCACGGAACGGTTCAACCAGTTCCCACTCTCTTTTTCATGTTTTCATGCCTTGCAAAATACTTCGGAAGTGCTTTTGATTTTTCAGTTCCTTCAGGAGATGGATGTTACGACTTTTTTATTTTAAGTGGTAACCCTTGACTCTAGGCCTTCAGTAAAGCTGTAATACAGAGCCGTCCTTCCAAATGCTGACTCAGAGAAACATCGGAGATGTCGTCCAGTTACATCACTTCATTTCCAGTTTGCCAGCAGGACGAGCAAATTATAAACCTAAACCCAACTGTGATAGTTAACCTCCATTTTTAGAGCCATTGCCATTTCTATGTGCAATTAAATGCATCACAAATCATCATGTGGTTAAAAAAAGGCCTTCCTGAAGTCCTAAGGGATGCGTTTTAGTCCCGCCCACTCCACCTCAGCCTTGTGATTGGTTAATTTTCTCGTCAGTCATCAAACAAGCTCCTGCAGAGACTCGGTCTGAGCTCAGCCTTCTCTGCTGACAGTGAAGTCCTAACCAATCAGAAAAAACCTCCAGCATGTTTCTGCCCGGAGACAAAAACTTTAAATAATCCGATTGGATAACTGCAAATTTATGAATTAAGAACAACATCTGGCTCAACTGGAAGTTAAATTACAGAAAACAAGAGAGATTAAGAGAAACTAAGAAACTACATTGATCATTTTTGATTAAAAAATAAAATTTTATTGGAATTCTAACAGTAAATTCTGAATTCTTAGGACTTATCTGAAGACGTTGAAGGCTCTGAGGATCCCCACTGTTATTTCTTTTTTACTTTTATATTTGTCAATTTTTTTTAAATTTAGTTATAAATTTCTTTCCAGTAGAAATTTATTGATATCAGTTTTTTCAAAAACATTTCAGCTACATACTTTGTTTTTGACTTCTACTTTTAGCTTCCTTCTTTTGCTGAGGGTCTTCAGGGTCTTTGCTGGTCCGGCTCACAGGGAGAGGTGTTTTGGTCACATGTGTGACGTGACCCACGGTACATGTGTGACGTGACGTGACCCA